TAGAAGAATAGAAGAATTATATAAATTATTTCTTTCTTTACTTTACTTTATACTTTTTATTTATTTAGCTAGAGTAACTATTTAAAGAAAATTTAAAAAAACTTATTTATTTTACTATATAACTCTAGCTATTAAGAGTATTATAAAATTATAAACTATATAAAAGTAGTCTACTATTTTAAGTATAGTAAGCTATTAGCTATATATAAAGGTCTAGTTAAAAGCTACTAAAATATACTAAAGTACTTTAACTACTATAGCTCTTATAAAACTACTTACTCTAACTATTTTATAGCTCTATTATAAGTAAATAAGTAAATAGTATACTTTATAAAAAGAATACTATTAACTATAAAGTAGTTTAGTTAACGCGTAATATTAGTAGCTACTATAGCTACTATAAATTTACTAATAAGCGCCTTTAAAGAAATATTTATTAAGTTAACTAAAAGTAATATATCTAGGCCTTTAGTATAAAGTACTACTATAGTAGCTACTAATAAGAAAAGCTATTTTAAAAGTACTATATTTAAGTAGAAATTAATAAGTAAGTCTAAAGTACTAGAATTTTCTAAGCTATAATAATTAGTAGTACTAATATAAGATCTTAGCTTTTATTAACTTTCTACTAAAAGTATTAAACTTAAAAACTCTAAGTATACTAACTTTTTTTCTATAAAATATATAGATACTAAAATAAGTACTAATTTATACTTATATTAAGATAACTTTTAAATAATAATAGTAATTATTTATAGAACTATAATAGCTAGCTATAAATCTACTAGTCTAATATAGCTAGAAGCTTACTCTACTATATTTTTACTTTTTAACTTACTTAGAATACTAAAATTAATATTATTTATATTTAAGAACTTTTTACTATAACTAGTATTTAGACTTCTACTTACTTAGGCTACTATATACTTTTTTTAGTAATTAGCTAGAATAACTCTAAGATTTAAAAATAGAACTACTTATAAGTTCTAACTTATATCTAAAAGGTCTTTAGCTTTAAAGCTAATATTATTTAGCTTTACTTTAGTAAAAACTTCTTATAAATTAAAGTTAATAGATACTTTATTTTAAATTTCTACTAATAACTTTTAAATAGCTTAATATTATACTACTTAGTTTTTTTAACGTTTTCTTTTAATTATTTTATTAAAAAGAACTTAAATACTTATTATAAACTTTTTAAGCTAGAGTTTATTACTATATATAGTAAATTAAAGATTACTTACTAGACTAGTTAAAATAACTTTTTTTTTATTAAAGAACCTAAAAAGCTTACTTATTACGCTAGGTATATTATTAATATTTTCTTTTTAAATATTCTCTTTACTAGAACTTTAGTATAAGCTACTTTATATTTAGAATTTAACTATAATACTTTAGTAACTATTTTACTTAGCTATAGCTAATAAGTATTAAAATAGTATTACTATTACGTTTCTAACTATAACTTACTCTAGTTTACTAGACTAGTTAAACTAAATTTTATTAGTCTTAGGCTTATTAGCTATAACTTAATAGTATAATAAATTAAAAATAGTATAGTAAATATTACTAAAGCTATAAATAATACTATTAAAGTTACTAGTAAGCTAGCTTATAAATTAAGCTACTTAGTACTTTAGTAAATAAATAAGTACTAAGCCTTATATAAAGCTTATATTAGAAATAAAGCTCTTAATAGTAAGCTACTTTCTAATACTACTAAAGTATTTCTTACTAAAGTTAGAAAAGCTAAGAAAAAGTACTAGTAATACTATATTAATTTTTATATCTCTAATTAGAACTTTTATAAGCTAGTTAAATAGTATAAAATAATATATAACTAAATAGATACTTTACTAATTATTAATAGCTAAACTTTTACTATATTTTTAAAAAAGGCTAAAGCTTTATAAAAAGCTATACTAAACTACTTTTTAGTAGAAGATAACTTTTTTAAGCTTCTACTTTTTATAGATAAGTTATCTAATAAGTATTTACTTTAAAATACTTATATTTTAATAGAAAAAGTTAAAAAAAGTATAATTAGCGTTTTTAGTACTTTCTCTAAGCCTAATAAAATTACTATTTAATTACTTAAAGTATACTAGTTATATATTAAGTACTTTATATATACTATTTACTAAAAATATTTTACTAAAACTTATTATAAAGATATATAAAGTAATATAGAAATAGCTATAATTCTAAAAATTAAAAAGAAAGATAAGTTCTTTCTTTACTTAATAAAACTTATTACTCTTATATTATATATAGATAAAAGTCTTAACTAAATTATTATAAAGTAGATAGCCTATATTACTATAGTATATAATATTCTTAGCTTATAGTATAGAGGTACACTACTTAAGCGCTTAGCTATAAACCTAGTTACTTTTTTTATTTATAATATAGAGATAGTCTAGTCTAGATATAAGTATATATTTATAGCTACTATAAATATTTAAAAGATATTTAATACGCTACTTAAAAATTAGTTTCTTTAATAACTTAAAAAGTAAAGCTAGCCTTTAATTCTTAGAAAGCTTATTTAAAAGTTTTTATCTAATAGAACTATTTATATAAAACTAAAAAATACTACTACTTTAGCTTACTTTATATACTATAAAATACTCTAAAAATTACTACTATTACTAGTTCTTTATACTCTTTACTTAGCTAAACTTTTAAACTAGAACTAATAATTATACTTTAGATATACTAATAATATCTATATTTATAAAATAGTCTATTTTTTAGATAAAAGTACTATATTACTAGCCTTTAATTTAAAGTCTATTAATAAATAAAGAGTAGTAAATAAAATTATATTTATTTCTAAGAAGACTAAGCTAATTTACCTAATAAGAAAATAAAGTCTACTTTCTCTTTTTATCTAGCTTAATAACTAAGAAATTTATACTATTCTTTTTAAAATAAATAGTAGCTAGATAGCTTTATACTAGCTAAAGATATAGTTTAATAAAAAGCTAATCTTTAAAACTTATATTACTAAATAGATAGTACTTACTTAAAAGATCTCTTACTACTTTTAAAGTTTTATAAATACTATCTATAGTTTATCTACTATATCTTTTTATAAAGTAGTTATAACTTATATTATACTATTATTATTTTATAAAGCTAAAGCTTAGTATAAAAAGAAAATAAAAAACTTATAAATTATTAAAGCTTTCTATAAGTCTATAGTTAGTACTTATATTAAGTAGTACTTAGCTATAATAAACTATACTATAATAACTACTATAAAAGCTATACTACTAGCGTAGAGAACTATACTAACTACTATTATACTAAGAGAAGCTACTATACTATTTATAGTAGTAGCTCTAGAAAAGATTAAGCTTTAATAATTAGTATATCTACTAAGTATAAATAGTTTCTATCTACTAGTAAATAAAATAATACTACTTTTTATTTAATAAAGTAAAAGTACTAAAAGTTACTAATACTTTTAATTAAAAGTTTAATAGATAGACTAGCTTTTTTTAGTTATCTTTAGACTAATATTAACTAATATTTAATATTTTTTACTAAACTTATAAGAAGACTCTACTTTTAGCTAAACTAAAGCTAAAGCTATAGCTTCTTTTAAGATATAGTAGAAAGCTTTTAGTTTAATAATAGTAACTATTTTTTTAGATAGCTCTAAGCAATATATTAAAAGTTAAAAAGTAGTAACTTATAAGTATATTATTTACTAAAACTAAACTAAATTAATAACTAGCTAAAGCTTATTATATTTTTTTTTTATATATTTAATATAAAAGTAATAGAGACTTATAAAAGTTTTATATATATAGTTTATCTTACTCTACTTAGCTACTAAAAGATTATACTTTATATTAATAGTACTTTTATTATTTAGAGTATTTAAAAATAAGTACTAGTATTATTTTAATAAGCTTTTTTATAAATATATAGTATTATAAATACTTATAATATATAAGTATAGTAGATACTTAGATATACTAGTATCTCTAGAAATAAACTAGTAGACTAAATAGTAGATAATAAAGCTAAAAACTTATATCTACTATTTAGTTAAGCTAATAACTTTATATATTTAGATATTAAATTAATTAGTTAGAGTCTACTAGACTAAGCTTACTATAACTAGTAGAATACTAAAAGAAGTAAACTATCTACTTAGTACTTATAATAGTAGCTATTTTATACTACTAACTATACTAACTTTACTCTAGTGCGTACTAGCTAAGACTTTAATAATTTACTTTAAATATAAAGACTTTATTTAGTATTACTAAAGATTTAACTATAAAAATATAACTTTAGATTATATATATAGTAAAGCTAAAACTTCTAAATATACTATCTTTTATAGAAGAACTTAAATAAAATTTTAACTTTAGCTTTTTTAACTTAATACTCTCTTTAGTACTAGAAAAGAAAAGCTTATATATTTTAAAGAATTAATAGACTAGCTTAATAAATTTATATTTTTTATTAAAGTAATAAACTACTATAGTAGTATAATTATACTATAAATTTAAAATTTTACTAAGACTTACTAAATTTCTTAGTATTTTTTAGTAAAGTACTAGTAGCCTAAAAGCTACTATTATTTACTTTTATTTACTATTTTTTTATTATTTTATATTTATATTTACTATTTCTCTTACTTTATTTATATTTAATATAGTAGTAAGCTACTTTAATACTACTAAAAAGTAGTATTACTACTAAATATTATAAGTATAAAAAGTACTTAAAAGTTTTTCTTTTCTTTTTAATATATATATAATTTACTTTAAAATAAGCTTATAAAGTAGTATATAACTACTATAACTCTTTAGTAGTACTTACTAAAATACTCTTTAGAAGGTTATATATAGGCGTAAAACTAATATTATTATTATTATCTTAAGAACTTGCAGCCTATCGCGATTAAAGACCTTTGGCTTAAACGACACCATAGCGGTCGCTATATTGTACTGCGGTCCATCACGTCTCCAAAACGCATGGCAGCGATTGAGGTTCTGGCGGAAGACGAGCACGGGGATGTCATACCATTGCGGTTGTACCAGCAGGACGATGAAGCAACCCGCCCAACCACAAATATCATCGATAAGCATTCGGTTGTTCTCATCAAGGAGCCGTTCTTCAAGTTTACGGCAGCTGGAGACTACAGTCTGCGAGTGGACCACCTTTCTGATGTCGTTTTCCTCTCAGACAATGATACGATAGTACCAGATTTGTTCCAACGACCGCGACACGCTGAGGTTAAAACAGCAGATACTTTGAAGCTAGAGGGGAATACTCTCATGGACGGCAAAAATGACTGGCAAGCGATCGACAAGTAAGTATTGCATGTAACGAGCGAGTGAGTGCGCTAACAAGTAGTATAGGTATTCAGCCGCCTTGCTGCAATCGCCTACTCCCGACGAGATCAAAGTGATCAAGCTCAATCGATCATTGGCTTACCTCAGTACCAAGCAGTATGAGGCGGCGCTCCGGGATACTGGTTACCCAAGCTTCGGTGAAGAAGGATCAGAGAGTGCAATGCTTCGTGCATCACAGGCACTGTACTACCTCAGCCATTACGACGAGTGCTGCGATCTGCTGAAAGACCTCTGCGAATTATCTCCGACCAATCAAGACGCAGCCGATGCGCTTGCTCGTGCTCAGCGTCGTTGCGATGAGTGTAATAGTGGACGATTCGACTTCAAACACCTCCGAAGCGAAGCAACAAAATTTCGACCACCTCATCTAGATCACGGGTCGTACATTGGGCCTGTAGAGGATCGCCCAGTGCAAGGCAAGGGTCGCGGTCTTTTCACAACCAAGCCCCTCAAGGTCGGCGATTTGGTGCTGTGTGAGAAGGCCTTCAGCCACGCTCATCTTGACGATGGACAAAAAGGCAACTCAAGCATCACCCGCTTGGTCAATGTCGAGTCGGATTTGGACGCCACAGGCGTCAGGGCTGACCTTATCCGAATGATCGCGCAGAAGCTATTGAAGAACCCCTCCCTGGCTCCGGATTTCACTACACTGTATCATGGCAATTACCAAGCGGTCGCCACACAGCGCGTAGATGAACAGCCGGTAGTAGACACGTAAGTACTGCCCTACCACTCAAATCGATTGCCCTGGCAAACTAATACGACCCTCCTCCAGCTTCCTCATCGAACGAATCGAGGCTTTCAACAACTTCTCCTGTCCCCTCACGAGTCTGAACATATACAAAGACCGAATAGCAGGGAGAATTACGCCCAAAGAAGACCTTCATAACTGTGGCGTCTGGATTAAGGCCTCATATATCAACCACAGCTGTCTTGGCAACGTCTGTCGAACTTTCATTGGAGACATGATGATCATCCGCGCGACCAAGGATCTGGATGCGGGCACAGAAGTCACATTCCCGTATGTTTTTCCGGAAGGGAAATACAATTCGAAGATGGTTGAAGAGCTAGACCATTGGGGCTTCACCTGCAAGTGCCCGCTCTGCGAAGATATCAAAACAACCGAATCTGCGGACCTCACGAAGAGGCAGGACTTGTTGGGCCAACTAGAAAAACTCTTTAAATCTCCGGTGACAGGAATCCAGTATACGAACGAGGTCGAACGCTTAGCCGAGGCGCTGAACGAGACGTACGCTCGTCCGGCGGAAGAAGTGCCTAGGCTCATGCTGTGGAGTCCGTACCACGTACTGACACGGATCTACATGGAGCGCCTCGTTGAAGCCAAACTGAAGCGCTTCTTTATTTGCAAAGCATTGGAAGCCATGGGTAAGTCTCTTCAAGCTATGGGCTTCACCTTCACTGGGCTTGACCGCACGTCTGCGCCTTTGGTGATTACAAGATGGGGTCACGTGGAAGATCGTCTAGTAGAAGTCTTCCTGCATGCGCGATCAGTGTTTGAGCAGTTGGGGTTGCCCGAGAAATCGAAACAGGCGGACAAGCATGCGCGAGTGGTGTATCGAATTGTTGTTGGGGAAGATACGTCATTTGATGAGACGCACCCTAGGTCTTCTTAGGTCGTGCAAGCAGCGAATTGGATGCGTTGTAGAGTATGCACAAGCACACAGCGGTATCCAGAAATACGATTCGTTTCCTTGTTCGCATCGAACGCCAACGCCTGGCTTAGAAGATAGCGCCACAGTCGTCAAAGCCCTTTGACCATCTACGCTTGGAACTGATTAAAGGCATACTACACTGCAACCTGGAATTTGCGATACCAAATTCTCTAAGTGCAAGCAATCGGGTTCTGAGTATTTTACACACATCCCATATCATCTCTCAGGGAATTTGAATGATGATGAAGGGCGGACTGGCATGGGCCTAACCTGACGTATGAAACAACAGTCATCACGATCCAGCATAGGTACCGTTGGCACTGCCTATGAAGACAACCTCGACAGCCGCAAACCTGTCCCGGATGTAAGGCTCAAGACGCTCAATAGGTATAAGGGAAGACATACGCCGCTGTGCCACCGAAGATCTCCTTCATCGTTGCGGTGGTGAAGATTCTAAGAAGAACTCCGATGCAAACGGTAGACCCAATGGTGACCCAGATCCTCGTGATCGTCCTCTTCACATGGAACAGCCAGAACATGATAAGACTCGGAAGCAGCGAAACGGCGATAGTTGCTATAAGGGTGATTATACCCGTCACGACCTTGATGACCTTCGAGTCCTCGTAGTCGTAGAAGTCTCCAGCTTCAGTACGAACAAGCGGGCGTAGCTGCAACTCATTAATCATAATTACCTGTGCTTTGAGGACACTTACTGATTGGAAGATGTAGTGATATGCGCTGACGAGCTTTGGTTTAAACCATGCTGAGAGCGGGTTGTCCTCTTCATGGTCTTCGCGCGTTAATACCACCAAGTCACGCTTGACGACTTCTTTCCATGTTCGCGCACGCTCGATACCTTTCTGGAAGTGCGCTCCACCTGTATCACTGCTCAGCCATCCCCGTAGAAATCTTACTCTGCTTTCACTGGGTTTTCGAAGCTGCGTGACCTTCGCCGCTGTAAGAAGTAACTCGTCTGTGACGCATGATTAGGTTTTCAAAAAACTGATGGCGATGGTGGGTTACAGACGATATGCGATCAATTTCGTTTGTGCTGATTCCAGTAACGCCATTTGATTAGGATGACCCTGCTCGCCTTCCTTGGTCGCCTTCTCCGAATTCAATTTGAGAAAGCTGGCGGAATAGTCTTCTTCTGGTTGGCCAGCATTATCGTCTGTCAGCTGCTGAGCTCGCACCTTCTCTTCAATTTCAATCAGCTCAGCTTGGAGACGCATTAGAGTGAGCGCGCTCAGGATTCCAAAACGTCGAAAGATGGCGACATCTGGGTTCTCTCCCATCAAGATCGCTAGCTTTGGATATCCCTTCAGATGTGGCTGCACAGGAAGTGACATGGTCCAGATGAATCGACTGATCAGCGAGAGGGGGTGACAAAACTGAGCTCGTTGAGGAGTAAGGCGACAGCTGGGCCTTCAGCCCACGCAAATGCTCTTTTGACCCCACTTTCAAAGACTTCGGTATTGGTAAGGACACGGGCGCTTAGAACTGATGATCAGCATCCGTATTTGGTCAGATTCGCACTCATTTGCTCCAGTCTTGCAGTGAGGCTGCAGGTGGTGGCGGCGGCCACGATTGTCAGCTTCTTGTTTCGATTCCAGCTTTGGCTCTGTAGCCACTGAGCTCTTCGCTTGGCATGCGCCCGAATAACACCGCGTAATATCATGCGCCCAATGGCTTGCTTGCATGCAGTTTCAGACACTTATCACATTCGTGTAATCTCCCCGCGTCAGCGTAGGTTGCTGTTGATAAGCCTTGACACTCCTCTCCATTTGTAAAATTTGGAAGTGTTGTCCACCCGCATAGCTTGAACGTACACATGGATTCTATATCTGTCACGATAGGCACCCTGGGGCTAATCGAAAACCTGAACAAAATTATTAAGCGCTTATCTGACACATCGGACAATGAGCAGATTAGAGACGCCTACCCGAACAAAATATCTGAAGAGCTTTCGGCTGTTCTGGATATTTTGACTCAGTCAAAGACGACCATGGACCAGCTTCTCTATCAACCCACATCCGTCATCCCAGCTCTTACGCGATGCCACGAAGCGATCGTAACACTAGAAAAGCAAATCCCTATGAACATACGTCAAGGCAGTCGCATGCCAACTCTCTTCTTCACGAAGGCACCGAAAGTGAGAAAAACACTCATGGTACTGAAAAGGGAAGTCACAGACTTTACCAAGTTAGTAACGCTGTAGGGAGAGACTAAATACCGCTAACATATTAGTGCTCTCAAGATTGAAGTGGCGTCAAAGGGCACTAACATGACCTCGGACGCGATCTCAGGCAGCCCAGCAGAGAGATCAAGTCTCTTTAATGCCACGATAAGTATCATCGTGGACAAGGACGTCTCCTCAGTACCACAATCGCAGAGGAATGCTTCTGGGATTCCTTGTGAATGTGGACGGAGCCGAATGGGGATATGGTTTCCTGTTAGAGGTAAGTTCGATAATGGATCGAATGCCGACTTTGTCTCCGAAGACGTAATCAAAAGAGCTGGACTCGAGCCCTTCGTGACCAGGGCCGAAGTTCCGGCCACCCTGGAGATGTTCGGCACCACGTTCATCTTCAACAAAAAGATCTGGCTAAGCTGGGTACTGAACAATCACGAGAAATCATATAGTGCAGACTTTTGGATAGCTCCGAACGCCAACAATTTCGATCTCATAATCGGCGAGCCTTGGTTGATAAAACATGGTTACGGAATCATTGAAACTCATGATTCTCATTCGGCGACAAGCTCGTACTTCGGTTTTCTCAACATAAGGCTACCTTGGAGTAGCAAAGGTAGGCCAATCTCGTCACTAAGTCAACAATATCGTATGCTGACAATGAAAGCACAAAGAAGAGCCGAGGAGGCTACCGAGGCTGATCTCGATGCTGAAGCCAATGAGCTGTTGAGGCAAACACGCGAGACCGCGCTGGCCCCGCGGCCAAACATTTCTGCAGTCGCTGGAAGTGCATCAACGGGCACAGCAGGACCGAGCATGTCAGCTTCTCAAACATCGAACGGCTCCAGATCTATCACCCCGACAAGCATGATCATTGGGCCGGTAGCATCAGGGGGCAATCCTCATGCTGCGCCAATTCCAACGAACACGCAAAGAAACCCACCGCCATGAATGGGTGCATCAAGAACGGTGGCTTCCGGAGCTGGGCCAGGCTCAGCGATTGCTATCTTTGACTACTACTGGCGGGGATTGTCTTGTTGCTTTTCGTTCTAGTTCGGTTTCGCGTTATGTGGCCGGTCGAGAAGGAGAGAGAGGGAGTAATTATGAAAAGGATGTGATTGCATTACTCAACGGAATGGGATATCTGGAAAGCATTTCGCAAAAAGTCGTAAATCGTCATAAGAGTTGTCCAAACAGCCGCCCTACGGACCCCAAACACTCAAAAACATTACTGCGCGTGTACGTCCAAGAAACACCAAAGTGTGACATTACTTCAATTACCGCGGCCCATACACAGGGTATGGCGGGTTGGCATACTGCTGTTGCCCGGGCGCCCGCGCATAGTCCTGCGGGTTATACGCATACGCCTGCTGAGCCTGCTGACCGCTTGGCCGCCGCTGGTGGGCGCTGTGCTCTTCCTTTGTCTCTTCCATCGTCGGAAGCTCGGCCGCGAATGCCTTTTGCTCTAGCCCTGGTGATTTCATGCCCTCTGATGGCGCATACGAGCTAGGGCGTGAGCTTGCCGTGCTGTGCGATGCAGTCGACCAGCGTGCATCTTGTGGGTTTGGCGAGTATTGCGATGGCTCAGAGGCGGAGGACGCGCGGTGATCGTGCGGGGAGAGGTGGGACGGGGACGGTTGAGGGTGGTAGAAGTCGCCTGGCAACTCCATGACCACGTCGTTCGTGCCTAGAAGCTGCTTTGGTGGGACAGGAGGGCCGGGCTGCTGCGCGGGCTGCGCCCATTGTTGGCTTTGCCTGTGCGGTGACATGGGCATCTGGTAGGGTTGGGTCGGCGATGGTTGTGGTGGCGTGTGACCGTAAGTCGAGCGATCAGCTGGGTTGACCGTCTTCATGCGCCCATTCTCCATCATCGCTTGGAGTGCGCCCGAGTCGAGCAGCTCCGCCTTCTTGACTAACCGCTCAATCATGATTGTGCAAGCTGCCTTCATTTCCTTCTTGACAAAGTTCATCATGGCGACGTTGCATTTGATCTCTACATCCTGGCGAATGTAGAGTCCCTCCGGTGGCGCAGAAGAGCCCAGCTCTTTCGGCTCAGGTGGTTCGCCAATCTGGTTGCCGCCAATATGCCACTTCTGGCGCAGGTCGACGTTGGCAGGCGCGTAGGTGTGTGTCTGAAGACCAAACGGTAGGTCATGGAAGACACCGCGGAACTTGATTGCGCCGCTCCCCATCTTGCCAATGCCGGGTATGTACTGTATGCGCTGCGATATTTCGTACCATGTTGAATAGTATTCGTCTGCGGGAGCGTCACGCGGTGCTTTGATGGGCTCGTGGCCGGTGACGAGGGGGTTCAGCTCGATGATCTCGCCGTGGCTGTGGAGGAAGTCGATTGCGAGCTGGCGCGGTATGAAAGACGGTATTGGTGTGATTTGCACATACTGCGTCTTCTTGCGCATCATATTCATGGCGGGCGATCAGTGTCGAGTAGGGCCGATGTGTGAGTGTGAGGTGTCTGCGTCAATTGCTCGAGGATGCGATTTGAGAGAAGAGGCTGCGCCACGACGGCAAAGGTGGGTAGTAATAAGGACGTTGCTGACGGTACCCCTGCTTGTGTAAGTAGGTTTGCAGGCGCTGAGCCGTGGCCGGGTCGTCAGCCCAAGATCGCCGTGACGAAACGCGTCATGCACGTGCATGTGATGTCAGAAACACCAAGATGCACGAGTAATCTTCTTTTTCTGCTACCCTGCCGCTATTGATGCGATCAATGACTTGCGAGCGCGGTTTGCTTGACAATGCGGTCTGCGTTCGATCGCTTTCATCATTGCGGCCCTGTAGGGCGGTTGGCGCCCGCTGTGGATCAGCCTAATTATAGGCTTGCAGCTGGTCGCCGGCAACTGTCAGCTCCATGCAGGTGCTGGTGGGGGCAGGAAATCTGAACTTCATCAGCTTCTCACCGTCGCAAGCCGTACATGGCTTCGAATCACCAAGCCAGAGTTCGACACATGCCGCGACGCCAGTGCTGGTGTCCTTGGTGCCTTTCTTTGCTTTTGCCTAACGCCGGAATCGTGGCCGTCCGAAGGCGTAGCGTGACTGCGCCAAGTTGTGCTCCTGGGCGGACGCGACGACTGGCATCCAAGTGGCTGAGCCTAGGACAAATAATCCTACTGTCGTTCCTCTAGTTCGATGCCACGTTCACGGCGGCGATGGACCCTTCGAAGTTGCGATGGGAGAGATTGAGATCCTCGACGAGACGGCATAATCATGTTTCGGAAACAACAAGACCTGAGGCATCAAATCTCCTCGACCCCGCGGAGCCCCTGGATGCCGGCAAGTATGGGAGTGTAGCCAAGGGTTCAACAGTCGCGGGTTGTCGTTCTCGTGAAAGCGCAGGTGCTCGCATTGATAAAGAGTCAAGAGTGTACTTCCTTTTGACGACCGTGGTAGCCTGCTCGGTCGTACTTGTAGCAGCTAAGAACATATCCCTTATCGACATGCGACCGACGGTCGATGATAGCAGGACGGTGCATGAATGCGACTGGTACCATTCTGCCAGTAAACCAAGGGAGCGTGTTCTAGTGCCATTCGAGACGTTCTGAGGTGTCCACTCGAACGATCTGGCTACAAAAAAGAAGATGGAAACAATGCGACTAGGTGAAAACGAAGATGGTGAGCGTGGGAGGTGAAACATCTCGGAGCGAGTTGCAGAGTTTTGTTCCTGCCTTTGTCGAGACCCTGATGACCCTGACGCTTGTTTGGCTCGAAGGCAGGAGCTACCGCAACCTCGACCGTGGTTCACGCCATGCGCCTCAAGCACGACAACACGACAACGCCC